TTCACAAGCATGATCAATGCTGCTTCATTAATGAATCCCAGTGTATAAGCTGATTGAAAAGGAACCATATAATCCATTTCATCCAGGGTCTTCTGAAGCTACAAATTGATCACACTTTAACCACATTTACTAAGAAGGGAATGTTGGAGATAAGACAAAAGTTGTCCAACACCATTGGATCCAGGTATAATTTCTTGAGGGGGCATGAACCGCCACCACTTTGAAAACTGGTGAACCCATCCCCTCCTTCAAGAATACATTCATCACCACTGAATCCAACCAAATATTGTTTCCCATGGAGGCCTTAATAACCACATTCTGTTGTACAAAATATCCCAGGACATTTTATTCATTGGCAGCAAACATGCTCCATTCTATCTTCTGATTCATATTTAACTAGAGAGATGCCAATGTAGTTCTTATCCAGGATGTATTTGCATAATTTCCAAAGAAGATGAATGTCTTGTAGGTTTCATCATCAGCATATGTGGAGTAATGCTTGACTTTGGCTCAGTTTGTATACCACCTACTCTAGAAATCCCTCATATTTTTTTAAGATTTTTTTTTTTTTTTTACAATAGAAAAAAATGCAATTTTGAGGAGGAGGAGGAGGAACAACAACAACAACAATAACAACTGTTTTTTTTTCTGGAAAGAAAATGTTTAAAAACCCTAGGTATTTGCTAGATAAATCTGCATGCCAACCAAATTTAAATAATGAATGCATTCATGCTTTGACAGTGATTTTGACAGCAACAGTTATTCAGAAGGTAAACATTTATCTGCCCTTCATTATGAATATATACTTCCTTCCAGACACCAATAAATTAGTATCAGGCTCAAAACCAACAGCTATGCAATATTTAGAATGCTTGCCATAAAATCTTCCAGTCATAAAATCAGAACTGGCAATGAGATAGGCCTGTCTTATATGCCATGAAGCCTACCCTAAATCAGTACAAGAAGGAAAGTGTTTCACAGGTAATTTTTGAAGTACTTTCCTGCTTTAATTTAATTGGAACTGGGAATCAGAGCAAATTAAAATAATGGATCAGTTTTCATTCTTGTGTCCAAACCTCTGAAGAAAAATAGCCAATAGCTCTTTAAGATGCAAATATAAATTATCCCTTTTTTCCTGATATCACACTCTCTCAAGTTTCCTGGTCTAACTTCTGCCTCTTCTGGTTACATGGAAATGCCATACTTCATTTTGTGAACGTTTTGTTCTTGTTCAAAATTCATATTACTATAAGGTCGGATCTATAAGACTTATAGTCTATACTATAAGACAGGATACAGGCCTCTTCACTGAATGTTATGGATTGTAATCTACCAAGCTGGTTCAGTGCAAATTGGTAAATAGATGTTCTTTGATTTCTAAGCGTAGAACTGAGAGAGAAGGACTATCCCAAAGTCACTCAGCTGGCTTCTTTACCTAAAGAAGGACTAAAACAACCATTATAGCACACTGGCATTTTCCCTCTCACCTTCTTTCTCTTTCAACACATTCTCCTAATACTATTTAAGTTGCTGCAGTTCTTGAAAGTGCACTTCCTTTGTTCTATTCAGTGAGACGTACATTTGAGTTGATTAGTGAAGAACATGTCTGTATGGATGGCCTTCCAATGCCTATGTGGTATCTGCCACATTCATAATTGTTTTTGTGCAAACATAGGTGCACATAGACAGGCTTTGACAGTATTATTATAAGCAATAGGTCTTTGCTGAAGAACCTGATTCTAGAAAAAAATTGAAGGCACTTGAAAAAGAGGCTGACTGCAGAAAAGTTGACAAGGTAGTATCACTGATGGCACAAGCGGGAGCTTACTAAAACTCAAAGAAGCAGTTACAAACAGATAATCCTGGCAAAATTATGTCTGTTGAATCATGAAAAGAATTTTTTCTGATTGTCTCTTCTTCCAGCTGAATTATTGTTCAACTGGAATTATTGCATGATTTATAGCACCCTCACCATTTTACTTGCTGTTCGCAGTTTGACAGTGTCCTAAAATATGTCACCTAGGACTGGGTACTTTATTCCAAATTTGGCTTGACTAACCCAGAATGTTATTTCAAGTAGTACTTCCAGAATGCAGTGCTGCAGGCAGTGTTAGGGGTGTCACATTATGCTCACATGACCTCAGTGCTGTGCGAGCTATGCTGGTTACCATTTTGCTTCTGGGTGGAATTCAAGGTGTTAGTTACCACTTTTAAAGCCCTTTATGGCATAGAGTCTGGCTAGCTGAGGGACTGCTTATCTCCAGGTGTTTCTGCTCTCTGTTTCTGGTAAAATCAACCAGATCCCATTGATTAAATAGTGTCATCTTCCTGGGATTTGTGCAGCTCCCACCCTTATGATATTTAGAAAATTACTAAAAACCTCATTGTTCTACCAAGTCTTGGGACCAGGTGGTTGTGGAGCATCCTTTAGTTTAGTTTATGGTTGTGTGTATTTTTCTCCTGTGAGCCAGGATCTCTTTTTATATGTATTGTTTTTCTTTTTATCTGTAAGCTGCCCAGAGTTTTCCAGGAGTTGGGCAGCCTCAAAACTGGATGGACGGATAAATAAATAAATAATTAAAGCAATCTTCATACATGATTATGCTAATGCATCTAGCATTAAGCAACTAGTATATGTTGAAGGTTTATATTCAATTAACAGTCCATTGCAGCATCTAGATCATGTTTACATGTCCTACTACTCATATCCCCTTCATCTTATACTTATGGATTTGATTATTTGTACCATATCACAAACCCTTTTCTTTACTTCTGTGGAATTTCCGCCTGTTGCATTTAACACACTTGCAGGTTATCCCTTTTGGCTTTTTCTCAACTGCAAATCTGAGAAGCAACCAAATTGACTTTCTGATGTTTGGAGTATAGTTCCTATTAAGTGTCACCTTTAGTCAGACTAGTAAGTGAAGCTTGTGACCCAAAACTTCTGGGACATCACGTCCAGGAAAATTGCTCTAAACGAACTGGTTTATTTGCCTGTGGTTCATTCATTCAGATAAGTTACCAGCATGATGAACAGGTATATGTGAATTGCACTTTATTGATAAGTGTGACTGTGGGAATTTAGTCTTCAGAGTCTTTTATTTGTATTTCCACAACCAAGCTGTACTGCATAAGTAGAAATTGACATATTTAGTATTATTACTATGATAAAAATGAGTACTTGTATTTTAAAATGTGTAGTGTCCATATAGTTTGGGGGGTGGATAACAGAATAAAAACAGCTTCATGCACAGACTGAAGCAAAAAACTATATATAGGTTAGGCATTTTTAAAAAGTCTCATAAATTATCTTCTCTATGGCATGTCTCCAAAACTAGTGGAATTTTATTTCTACTATTCTCAAAGCTATGATCTTCAAGTTTAAGTCCAAGAGTTCCTGGAATATTAGGTTTTGGTCAGTAGTCATAAAATGTGTAAATCTCATGAACCATGGAAAATTGGCTGTAGTGGCTCTTGTTCTGTGTTCTACAATTATATTGCTCTTGTAAGAATGCTTGGCATATAGCTGTCTTTTAATATAGATTTGTTCCCTACGTGATGAGACAGTATAAGAGTTCTCTGAAGAATGATTGTTAGTTGAGTCAATATCTGTTATAAAACCTTTCTTTCTTTCTTTCTTTCTTTCTTTCTTTCTTTCTTTCTTTCTTTCTTTCTTTCTTTCTTTCTTTCTTTCTTTCCTTCTCTCTCTCTCAGAATTGTAGTTTCTCAAATAATTTCCTCAGATTCCTCAGAAGGTTCCTCAGACAGTTATTGCAGGTCATTTTTGAAAAGTTCTGTAATAATTGACAAGTTTACATGAAATACAGGTTTCCCATCTTCTGAAGCCTCCTTTAGATGTTCAGGTGGACTTCAAACATGGATATAAATATAATTCCAGCCTTTTCCATCACTGCTCACCATGTATGGAATTTCAAATTCAACTTCAAATTTGAAATTCAGCTGGAATTTCAAAGAGTTATTTGCATTTGCTTGATCCACAGTCCCGATAAAGCAGGGCTGTGGACTGTGTTACTATCTGTCTTGTATTTCAGGTAAACTTGTCAATTATTGCATTCATGTGATGACATGTATCATTCTCTTTCAGACCTCTGCTTAAATATACGATCAAAGATAAGGGGGAAGGGCAGTGCCTGCACATCATTCTCTAGAAATGAACAATATTGAAGAATATTGGGAATATTCAAAAACAAGCTCATAATTTATATGGGATAATACACAATAGACACAGAACACTAATAACTGATGATATACATGAACATATCTTAATCTTTGCAATGTGAAGAGTGGCCTTGGTTGACCAATTATTATGGAAACATTGAAGTCAGATATTTGAAAATAACCAGCTTAAAACCTGGTTTCTGAATATGGAAAGGATCCTGTACATCATGCACAGCTTCTGTGCCTAAAAATTGCCCCATTTGATTCCTGACATTCCCTGTTTAGGTGGGCAGTAATGACTAAGCAGACAGACTGACAGGAACCAGACAGGAATGACAGTAATAGGTGTGCAGTAATGAGAATCACACTCTCATGAGAAGGGTATCACTGACAGACTTTGAAATAGATTTGACACTAGAATGATAGAATCATAGTTAGAAGGGACCAATTTACACTATCAAGTCTAACCCCTTGCTCAGATGAGGAATTCGAATTAAAGCATCCCAGAAAGATGGCCACCACTTCTCAGGGTAAATTGGTTCCCTCATCAAGTTGCTCCTACTGTTGAGCGCCCCCTTCAACTGGAATTTGCCTTCCTGCAATGTAAATCCAGTGTCCTTCATTTTGTTATGAGCTTCTTCTATATAACATCCTTTCAGGTATTTGAAGAGTGCGACCATATCTTCCTTCAGTTGTGTTTTCTCGAGACTACGTATATCCAATCATTTAATTGCTCTTCATAGCTCTTAGTTTAAATTTCCTTGACCAGAATTGTTGCCCTTCTCTGAACTTGTTCTAATTTCTCTGAATCTTTCTTAAAGGTGTGGTGTTCAGAACTGGACACAATACTTGAGGTGGAGTCTGACCAAAGTTGAACAGAATGGAACAATTTCCATGATTTCAAAGGTATAGTACTGTTACTGCACCCTAAAATTGCATTTGCCTTCTTTATGGCCATGTCATACATCATGTTTAGTTTGCAATCAATTACTATTCCGATAACTTTTTCACAAGTACCATTACTACGTCAGGTAACTCCCATACTATACCTGTGCATTTTATTTCTGTTCCTAAATGAATAATTTTGTGCTTGTCTCTATTAGCTTTTATACTGCTACTTTTGACCCATTTCTCTAATTTATCAAGATTATTTTGAAGTTTATTTCTATCTTCTAGGGCATTAGTTATTTCACCCAATTGTGTTAACTAGTTTGCTACACAGCATGTCATAGGGTACATTTGTCAATGCCTTGGCTGAAAAGATATGTTATGCCTACAACATTCCAGCATTTCACTGCCCTAAAAATGAGATAAGAGTGTTCTGGCAATATTAGTTCTTGACAGTCCCTGCTAATTTCTGGTAATTACTACATTATTCAAGATATTTAACAAATTTATGTCTTTATGATCTGCTGCAGGATCTTTCCAGATATTGAAGTCAATAGTTGCTGAAGAGCTGGAGTTACCACCAAAGCCTCTTACATGAACTAAGGCAACAATCTGGATCCTGCCCTCCCTTTTTTCCCAGTCAATATTTCATTTTAGCAATGTGTCAAAGTGAATATATATATATTTGTTAAAAAAGAATCCATGATGCTTAATGCATGTCAGCTAAAAATGCCCCATAGTGTACATGAAAAAGAATTACTGTTCCATCATGACAAATTGTTGTTATAATGCTGTCAAACTTTAAAATATTATTATGTTATTGGAAAGAAGACCATCTGAAGAAGCATTAAAACAAGCAAATCCCCATGGAAAGTCTTTAGAATACTCTCTTCCCAGCCTGAAATTCATGAAATGTACTCCATTAACTATCTTTCACGTGGTAGTCCAGGCTCTCTGATCTGTGTTGCCATTGTTACAGAACTGTATTCCAAAGTGCTATATATTTTTATCCTGTATGGAAATATATTTACTTTGATGGCCCCAGTGGGTTTGTAGAAGTACATATTATAAATAATTCATTTAAAAACCATTTATAATGCATAAAAATAAGATACTTGGTAACAATTTTGCATTATTATATTTATACATTAGTCTTTGTGAAAGGCTATTTTTAAACTGCATTTTCCAAATCTGGCTTTGGCTTATCCTCCTCCTCCAAAATGTAGATCTCATATATATTGCAATTTATATTTATATCATAAATAGTTGCCTTGTCTTTTCTTCTCAACTGCTTGAGATAAGTTTCAGACACTTTGTTGGCTCTCAGAGTGAATTCCCTTCTTCCAGCTGTGTCTTATCCATCTAACATATTTTTTTGGCTGCCCCAAGGCTGTACAGAATTTCTCCTGGGGCTTTCCCATCTGTTCCCTCTGTTAATTGTGTGTGTGTGTGTGTGAGAGAGAGACAGAGACAGAGACAGACAGACAGACAGACAGACAGACAGAAAGGTTTAAGGTAATCATTATTTTGGTTTTTTTCTTCTATAGCTTTAACATTCTATAATATTGAGGGGAAAAAATCAAATAACATCTAACACATTGACACATAAATTAATAAAGACATTGACACATAAATTAATAAAGCACATTTTTACTGCGTTCGGTATACACAGCTATATATTAGGTTGAGCCTCAAAATAGGTATACCACTTCTATACCTTTTGTGGGACTATTGATCTCATGTGAAAGATATTTAATGGAGCACCCTTCATGGATTTCAGGCTGGGAAGAGGGTATTCTAAAGACTTTCCATGGGGACTTGCTTTAAATGTTAATTTGGGATAGGCACTTTGAGGCCTCACATGCAGACCAAATTACCTTTTTGCCCTTCCCATAAATTTCTTCTGAGCCCAATTTCTGAAAACTGGTGAGATGGTTTCCTGATGCTTTGAACTATGAAACACTCAAAAACTGGAGTGTAAGCTGTAAAATATACTTAAAATAGTTTAAAATAAAATTTTCAAAGTCCACCCTAAGCCAAATAATCTCCCCTCTCCAGATAAACCCATATCCACTTATTTTGTATCATCATCACCATTCCTCCCCAACCTCAGTGTGCCCCTGGCAACTATGGAATAGAAGTTCACCATGATGTTGCTTTTCCCTAAACTCAGAACCACTGCAGTGCATTTTTTGTTTCTCTTTCTTAATTAAAAAAAAAAAAAAGAAGACTTGCTGCTGCTTCACAAGGGTGCTTTTATAGATCCTTCTTTCTTCTTTAAGTGAAAAAAAAGGTGTTCTTTCTGCTTTAGGAGAGGCAGTATTCCATCATACATCCTCATCTGCAGAATATCCTATGGGAAAACTGATGCTACATTATGTCATTTTATTTTTCAATTAATAAGGAAAGGTGTGGGAGTCAGTACCTCCAAAGGCAATGGAAGGTCTTTCAAATTTCATCCTTCCCCAAAGAAAGAGAAGAAGAAAATCTTCAGGGGCATTTTTGCTACAGTTCAGTGGAATGCCAAATTACTTTCTGTTTTGGGGCGTTGCCAGATTGTGGCATCTTCAAACACAGCTCAAGACTGGTTTCTTTGCATGAGTCAGGATGATGCTTGATGTGCTGGCAGGGGTGACAGTTATAATTATTCTTGTTCTCCCACTCCCTGTTGGCTTAAATTGCCAGATAGTTTGCTCCCTAGCTTCCTAGCTTGCATCTGAGGCAACATGAAAGATATATGTTGATTTTTTAAAATGTATTTGGATAGGAGGAATGATGTTGCCAAACTGAATTTCCTATTGGGGATTGCATTGGCTAGGACAAAATAGACCTAGCTTTAATTAAATATTTATAGATTAAAATGCTCAATAATATGAAGTAACATAGATTCACATGTTAGAAAGTCTGAAAATGCCAAGAGAGACAATGAAATTTGTATTTATTTTTTCCTCATGTTTTTCAAGCTAATCCCTCTTAAAGTACTCACAGTGCCTATTTACATAAAACAATCTTTCTAAAATGCATTTTCAAGTTCACCAAAGCAATTCTGATGAACCAGATTATAATTTTTAAAGCTGCTGAGTGGCCAAAAAAGAAAAACAAGAAACAAACATCTGCATATCAAATATGCACATTTGCTAAACTTTTAAGAGGTGAAGGTTCAGTTTATTTTCTCTAGCTTGAGCTGTAAACAAACACAAACATTCAGCCAGCAGTCTCTAAAGTTGGGACTAGAATGAACATACGGTCATAAATGTGCTGCATAATATTGGCCATAATCCATTCAAACTTAAATGCTTTTAGGTGCCATTAATTTCAATGGGATAGTTATAGTACAGCCCTTAGAGACCAGAACTCTAATCTGGATGGGACATTCTAGCATGGAATCCCACCCTTGGAGCCCCAGAAGAAAATGATCAGCTGTTGCTTTCCATTGTTGGAACTTCAGCACTGGATAGAGGGAAGTGAGTGGGGTGGATAGGTGGGTAGTCTGCTGGCATGCTAGGAGAGGATTTAAAATTGCAAAATCCAAATCCTTACTTACTTAATGTAAGTAATTCCTCTCCCATTGCTTGAAATTAGAGGATTTTTAAAGTTTATTGTAAAAGATAATGGAGTGGGATGGTCTAGAGCAGTGTTTCTCAACCTTGACAGCTTGAAGATGTGTGGACTTCAGCTCCCAGAATTCCCCAGCCTTTCTAGGACCCCCAAGACCTAAAAGAGCTTTGGAGGTGCTTGCTCATCATAGCAAGGAAAATCAGCTGGAGATATATTATTAAAAAAAAAAAATCATGATTTTCATTAGGAGACCAAGCATTCACTCCTGGCAGTTGAACAGAAACCTGGAACATCAGAGGAGAACCCAAATGAACAGGTTCACATCTTCAAATACCTGGGAATGGTTTTCCACTCCAATGGAACATGGAGTAGTTATGATTATGTCTCCCAGCCAATATTAAGATCTGCAAATGGCGTCAAACAATTCTATTTTACTAAAGAAGGTAAATTAATGCCAGCTTACTTATTGTAGCTCAAGTATTGTATGCAGTTGGAGTGGGCCTTTATGCTAGGAATAATGCCCCTGAGATGCTCCAAACTAAATTTCTAAGATCTATACTTGCAGCACCTAGAAGAGTTGCCAGTGCCCTTCTCAAGTTAAAAACAGGAATGCCTAAAATTGAGGTTAGGGCATGGTGGTTGATGTTAAACTACTAGCTGAAGGTCCAGTTCTTCCCCACAGGATTACTTTCATTAATAATGACTGATGATTGCCCCTTAAGCTGGAAAAAAACTATTGACTTGTGGGTTATCATCAGCATTTCTACAAACCTTGGACTATAATCATGCCAAACACACATTTTGCCAAAGATTTAATGACATTTGAGGCAGAAGTCAATAGCTTGTCACAGAGAAATAAGATTTGGGTGACAAAGGGCTTTTGGGAAATGGCTAACTATCTTTCCTTCCTGTCACTCCCCAAACTAAGGAAAGCTTTCTTCTGGGTAAGGCACAATATTTTGCCTTCAGGATTATTACAGGGAAGTTATTCTAAAATCCCATTTGAGAAATGGATTTGCCTGTATGGAATTAGAGGTGTTGGGACAGTCCAACTTATATTATTTTACTGTGCCATCTATGTGGATATTCATAATGCCTAAATTTTGCTTCTTTTACATCTGTACCCTGGATGATCTGACAAATACTTATATTTTCATCCTTTTTTCAGACTGTAAATAGTTTATAACTCAGACTGTAGTAAAATATTGAGCAGCAGCCATGAAAATCAGACATTAATTATTGAAAGGTCTTTCACAATTGTAACATATTTTTAGATCAACTATTATAACTGTCTGTATTGCTCTGTATTAATATATTCTGTGTTTTTATTGTTTTTATTGTTTTTAGTTGTTTTCAGTTGTATCTTTTATCTCTGGCCTTTGACTGTGGTAATTTTTAAAAATTATTAATGGAGACAAAATAATTTTGATGGTGGATCAGTGGATTATTAAAATTGATTA